GTACCCTCCCGACACCAATCAGTGATCCCACTCCCACCCCGTCAGCTTTTCCCACATCGTTTTTTCCCCAACCCTTTCTTGAGCTTTTTTCCTTTTTCTTTTCCCCTTCCTTCTCCGGAAGCCAGAAAAAGTGCCGTACCAACAGCGTAACTCCGTACCACCGCTTCGGGGCTTGATTCGAGGAAGGCAAAAACCCCAAGATTGCACACGGTAACGGAAACTTCCCGTTCCATACATGCTGGCATGGCAGCCACGAAGCATGCAGATGTTTTGAGCAACAGACGTATTGGCTCGATTCGCAAACTGGCATTCTTGAGACTGTGCGGTATCATACGTAAGTCAGCGAACCAAGCAGCCACATGTATGCACTGGTGTGTGTGTGTACGAACTGGAGTGTGTGTGTCGAAAATAACCCCTGCTCCCAAATGTCTAAACTACCACACTCGCATCGATTATATTTGAAATGCTGAGAGGGCCAATCTTGGCCCGAGAAATTTTAGCCAGGACGATATCACTAACTCTTTCCTTTTTCCTCTTCCCCTCCGCCTCCCCCCCTTTTTCCCCCTTCACTCTCGACGATTGATCACTCCGGTGCTGCCCAGTCAACACATCTTTCATGGCACTTTGATAATCCAGCGCGCTCTATCTGCCGTTGCCATCGTGAGCTTCGATATTCGATAGTGTGGTAACATATGGATACGTTGGGGGCGGGGGCGTCTTTTACCCGCTTAGTCTTCCAAAGAGAAAGCACGCCCCAACGCCTGGAGCATTAGAGCCAGTGCTCAAGGCCTCCAGTGGCGTCCGCCAAAAAAAAGAAAAAAAGAAAAAAAAGAGCAAGAGTAAGAGCGAGAGAGAGGCAATTTAGGTTATGATTTTTTCTCCACCCCACTGGTCCGTCCTCCTTCGCGTTTCACGCCATGCACACAAGTGATAAGCAGATAGGGTAGCCACCAAAGCACCAAAAACTGCACACAGTATCCCGGCCAATACCCGAGTACGTTTAGTTTAGTCTTATCCAGGATACCGTATATAGCCCATTGGGGCGGCGCCGTTCCGGTCAGGTTTGCAGAGGGGAGCTGTGTTATGCATTATGCCTCCACAAATTATGGGGGGCAACCCGTGTTGATTGGGAGCTCAATATTTGGTGGGGAGGGTGCGAGGCACATCACCCACATCGAGTCTATCGACTGGTCCATTGTGCTTCGATTCCCACGTCGTCTCCGCATAAAACGACAGAAACCTCACCCTTCCCCCCCATTTCATAGTAAGTTACTCGTACCGTAGCGTACAAGGCCTTGCGGGATTTTCCACCAAAAAGGGTGATGATGCTTATTCCCCATCGCACAGTACCGTACTCGTACATATAAGCCACGAGAAAGTTGATTCAGGTCTGGGGAGTTCTGGGGCACGGTATGTACGGCACGATACCGAGACGTACCGGTTTCGGAGCTCCGCATGGACAGCCACCCTAACCTGTTCGCCGATTCGGGAAGTGCTGTATATAAAAAAACAAAAAAGCCCCCCCTCCCGATTTTCTCTGGGTTTCTCATGATTAGTTTCGTGGAGGCCAAAGCCCGATTACGAAATGATTCTCTCACCCATCCTTTACACGCATGGGAGGAACCAGAAAGCGAAGGTCAGTGTACAAACAAAAAAAAAAAAAAAACACACATAGCGAATAACCGACCATAAAAAGAACCAAGGCCTTTTCCCATATCTCCCGAGACAGCTGAAATGCCCAAAAGTCACAAAGTGGGGCCGACGCATCCGAGTGATTAGGCATGATTAGCTTTGGTGGCAATTTTTTTTTTTTTTACACACAACCGAGACGCGCGGGCGTTGTGCTTCTGAGCCCTGAACCCCCTCCCCTCCCCCCTTCACACCGTAACCGAGGTCGTTAATGGATGGAGTTTCAAAAAACTCCGGTGGTGTCCAGTATCGTTGCCGTAGCGAGGTTGTTTTTTTCTTCTTCCTTTCTTTCTTTCTTCCTCTTCTTCTCTTCGGTGATCGACCACCACCAACCCTCCCTTCCCCCTGGAAAAGCTTTAACAGGTAAAGTGCGGCAGGATAACTTTTCTCGCTACCATTGTTTATGATGGGGCCCATGGGGCGGGAAGAACCTTAGTAGGAGCGTTGCATCAGGGGTCTCAAACCCTTCAACCCTTTTTTTTTTTTCCTTCCTTCCTTCCTTCCTTCGTGGGCGCCCCCGGCAGGTGGTCTCTCTCCTTCACACTTGCCTACGGCAAGTGTTCGCGTGGTGTTTGTGCCGAAATAAAAGTAATTGTCTGGACATTTATGGAAATAATGCCAAGAGGAAGTATGGAGTGTTTTTTTTTGACAAATTCACCAAAAAAGCTCATTTCCTAAACAGCAGCAATCATAGCAAAAAAAAAAGTCTCAAAAAATCTCCTATACAATGGAATCTCTAACTTTTTTCAAGGTCGTCACGCTGCTTAAAGACAACACAAGGGAAAAATTGAAGCCCCTTTTCCCGAGTGCAGTACGGTAGTTGAGTTATGAGGATTCAGGCAGGGAGTATTTCTCATGATAACTGGCTCCAAAAATTTGTGAGAAACACCCTTGGGCAAAAAAAGGCAAGGTTCTTCCATGACTAAGCATGAAAAAGAAACCTGCGGTGGCTTTCAAGTCCAAAACAGAACCTCCATCGCACAACTTTTCGCTCCATCTTTTTTACTCGGCACAAACAACTTACGCCGCCCTGCCGTGCTTGCCTCTTGGATCCCGCTTCTTGGTACGGCAAATGAGCCCTCCGGTCACTACGGTGCCGTACCGTACTTCATTTTTCCATCCCGTGACAAAAAAAAAAAAAAAAGTCACTGCATTGACTCCCCAACGAACTCTTACACAGTACTCGTACTAGCCTCCTTCTCATTATCGATTTCGAAAAGGTCGTCAGTTCGCCAACCTCCCCCCTCTCCTCTCTCGACGCCATGCCGGGGGGGAGCCGGGCCGGTTCTCTAACCGAGAGAGGCAAAAGCCCAAAGCCAGAGAGAAAGAAGAAGGAGAGTGGGCCGTGGGAAATTGCGTTGGATGGATCGAGGGATACCGGTAGGAAGGGTTATCGGTACCGTCCGCTACTGTCTGTCTGTAGTGGTTCTGGTGGTTTTCTGCTTGTACTATACAGTATGGTACTAGTGGCCCGCTTATGGTCATTTCTTCTCCGTCGCCGATTCGGCCATACTGTACCATACTCATACGGAGGAGGAGATTCTTCCTGAAGTTCCCGAGATTATCGGTTTGAAGGGGTTCTATACATATGGTTTTACTTTTTTTTTTTTTTCTGAGCCCGGGCCCGTTGCGATTTCGCAATTGCTGACATTCGGTACAAGTACGTAACATTCGGAAGCCCCACCGGGCTTGACAAGCGCAGGTGCACTGTGATTTCTCTCGCACAGGTCGGACTGGAGCTAAGGGTCACTCACTACTTGTAAGGCATGGCTAAAGAGGATGATCCAAACCAGACCTTGGGGAAGAGACCGCGATTTCTCGCACGCTTTTTTCTAACTGCAAGGTAAATTTTCCGCTCTCAGTAAAAAACGAGGAGTAAAAAACGAGGAGTAAAAAAACGAGGAAGAACGATTTGGCACAACTGCATAAGCCTGCCGGTATACCAGCGCCAGCTGGACGAGAACCCAGGGTATCATAAAATAAGCTCAAAAGCGAGGATAAGGCCGCGAGTTCAAAATTACAATCATTCTTACGGTACATTTTTGACTGGACAGTACGATCCCGAGTTCAGACATAACTGTTTTAGTAACACCCATTCATCCATTCATCCGCATACCATAGGTTATAATACTTGTAAAGTGCAAGTTTTGCAAATTCAGTACCGATAACATGTTTTAAAGGGGGAAACCGGTTTTTACCCGATATAAAAAAAAATTAAAAAAATGCTACAGGTTATCATACTTGTATAATAAGTGTCGGAATAATTTACTTAACCTTATGCTGATACGAATTAAAAAATACAGCACAAGTTACCTTTTTAACCAGGAGGGAGAATAACAAAGTCCTAAGCGTGAGGTTCAATTCTTACTTGTGATACCCGTACTTGCGCCTCCGGGGGTATGTTAACTTGGATTTATCCCGAATTCATGGGTTCAGTTGTTCCCCCCCCCCCTCCCCCCTTACCGGAACACCATCGCCCAAGTCGCTTTAGCGAGGCTCGTAAAAAATGTACGACACCCTTGGGTCAGTTTCTGCGTGATCAATTTTCGACAAGGGTTATTATTATTACTACAGTACCGTGCCCTAGTTTCTTTCTATTTTTTTTTTTGATTTTGATTGGAAAATCGCTTGGCGATTGGGTTCCCTTCCTGCAAGTGACGGAGTGCATTGATCATGTCCCACACAAAGAAAATTGCTACAGTAGGCCAAAGCTTGGTTTTTTGGAGATAAACCCACTCCTCCCTTACTCGCACAGGGACTACCACTGTAATTTAGCGGCGGGGACGGGGAGGGGTGGGGGAAAGTACAGTACTGGTACGTGGCGGCCTTCAATGGTGCAGAAAGGAGCTTGAAAATTGGTCACCTGGTTAGAAATTTGCTGGCGCCCTCACCTTGTCCAGCCATGTATGTATGATACCTGATATTACGGATTAATTTAGCTGTGGATAGCATGTGTCCAGTGCGATTGAGGGCTGCTTCCCGAGGGGCGTTTGTACGGTACATTGTATCCACGGAGCCGGTTTGCCGCTCTCTGGCATCGCAGCTTGGACTTTTTTCTATCCCTGCTTCATTCGTCAATCCATGACCTCCTGGTACTCGTAGTAATGGGTCACTTGAGCCTCTTTCAATGCTGAACGTTTGTACCGAGCATGGCATCTCTAATCGCCTACAAACGGCAGTTCGGTGGAACGCCCCCCGCCTCGGCCTAGAGGTGAATTGAGGGCGGCTTACATGTAGCAATGAAACGTGTCGCACTAAAAGGTGATCTGTAGCAATACACAGCATGCAAAAGGAAAAGTGATGCATGGGAGATGGTTACCCATATTTTTGGAAGCGCGGGAAGATCGACTTCCTCGACCCTTTTTCTTTCACAATTCTGGCGAGTGATAAATTATGATTGCATTAACACATGTAACCGTAGAGTTCACGTTTCCGTGCAGAGGGACCTCCCCTCCAGATCGCGGAGAATGCATAGCATCCGCATGACACGCACCGGATACGGAGGTTCTGCACTGTTAAAAGCATATCGAACGGGGCTGCAGCATTTCCGAGGCGGGATAATGTAGAGACAAGGGACCCTTCCCAGTCCTGGCATTGAATCGGGCATCCCTAAGCCTTGGGAAGCAATGGTAACCTTTTTCCCCACTTCCCTATTTCGTCACCGGTGAATGCTCAGCTGCTCTCAGCGAGTGTAAGGTTACGAGATGGCGGGGGTTGTCGTATTTGGTCCTGAGGTTGAATGCCCGTTTGCTCCACACATTCCCAGCATGAAGGACCTGGACATTTGTATCCGAGTTTAGTATGGGCGCTCAGATACGCACAGGTAATTTCGCCATACCAATTTTTGATCCCTGTGTTCAGGTTCTTCCTCATGCTGGGAACGCGTAGTTGGTTGTAACAGGGTTAAAGCCTTCGGGATCCCCCCCGCTTGAATTTCCCCGCAGTGATCCGAGCTCACTAGCTGCCGCTCCAACTCGAGTATTGCTGAAATTTTGGCCGCTAGCCGGACAGCTGTACCGTGAGATCGAGAAGTGGATTCCTAGGCATATTATCGCTCATTGAACTCGAGCTATGATATCAACAACCCCGGTGCTGGTCATCCCCCCCATACCCGTATTCCCATGAGCGCCTGACCCGGGAGTTGCGGAATTGTCCGATACGGAATGAATCCCAGATAAATACCTGGCCACATTGAATGAAAGCGGGGACACCCCCGCCTCTGAGTCTTCAATGCCCGCAGTATTACATTATACAGAGGCGTCGTCGTAAGGCATTGAGGTTGGGGAGAGTCGCGAGACTCCCCGACGGCCTCCGCCGATACTGATCAGCCCAAAAACGGGCTTATCAAGCGCCGATATTAACTCATAGCACTGCCTATCTGGCCAGTACCGTAGAGGTAAGGTTAATGACTGCCGTTTGAGGAGAAAGTGCACGCTGTTTGCCGGGTGAGCCAAATTGTACGAGTACTTGTGAGTCGCGGGTTAAAGCGTGAGACGTATATTGCGTGTGCATACTCATCGCACGTGGATTCAGAGTTCCTGCCTTGGGACTGGGTCCAAGACCCTGTCCCTACTACTGCACCTCAAGGCAAATCATGGGCTGGATACCTCTCGTCGCAGGTTTCGGTGAACGTAGCGGAGGGGTATGATACTTCTTTCGTCAAAGTAGAGCGCAAAGTAATTAATAAAAGTCCTATCATACCTAAACCCCGAAATGTTGATCCCGTGGGATGCGCATTGAAGACACATACCGGAGTTCATCCGAAGCTGTTCATAGCATATCCTTTTGACGCTCAGCATGCTGGACCTCTCCCATGCGGAGTCTTAATACCGGGTCGCACCGCCCCGCTTCGCTTGCTCCGTCAGGGAAGGAAAAAAAGAGGTACTTTGAGAAGTACTAGTACTCGAGTAAAGGGATGAACTCCTCAAATCATATCTCCCGGAGTTACACACTCTGGCCAATTGGGATGACACAGGTACCTTGTGCACCCTACAAGATGAGCGATAATTTTAGTATTTTCCATCCATCCCCCTTCCACTTTCGCATCACCCACGATGCATATTTCGAACTTTCATCCTCGGTAAACTGCCGGCAATTTCCAAATTCGTGACGACGGACCGCATTCAAACGGTGTTGGCCACAAGTGTCCTTTCATTCGCCACACTTCCCCATTTGAAAACCTTCCGGTATCCCAACAAGATCCCCCCGTCATGCAATGTGAAAATATAAAATATAAAATAAAAATAAAATAAAATAAAGAAAGGATTTGGCCGACTATCCGAGGATAGCTTTTCTTTTTCTTTTTCTTCCCACACCTCTCTAATCTAAGCGGGTTCATACAGCAAAGGTCGACCCTGTCGCAACACCTTTAGCCAAATACTGATGCAGACAAATGTGGGGGTTCCTGAGAGAGCAGCTCTCCCTCTTTTTTTTTTCGACCCATCCACATGCGTAAGTAGGGATGCTGTGACGGAAATCGAAAATTCCTTTAGAAATTACCCCTATCAAAGGACAACAACTAACCTTTTTGGGGGCAGAATATCGTAGGGGAACTGAGGCAGTGTGTCGTTATCTCTTTCCCGCCAAGCATGGACAGCACTCGTTCAAATCGGGACCAGTAACGGGACGGCGAGGGGGAGTAGGAAAGGAAAGCAAAACAAAGAAAAAGAAAAAAGGGAAAGACCCCAGTGAAGGGGAACGTGGAGAAAAGAGGGAAGAAAAAAAAAGAATCGAAAATTCTCTCTGAGTGTCACCATAACTAACGCCTCCGGTTGCTCCAATGATGATGACCTTAGCAGTAGGAAACTTCAAGAACCTACAGTATCCAGTCAAAGGCTAAACACTTTGTTACTATACCGGTGATTTGATATATGCCAGCTGCGGAATGTGTAACACCCCCCAAGTTGATCAGGCATTAGATCCCATAATAGAAACCCGACACCACCTAGAGGCACTAAATTCCATCAATAGCTGCGATACGGTTTCCGCCATGGTCACCTCCGACATCACTTGTGTCACGTATGGCGTAGAACGGAGTGGGCGACCTCTCGAATAAAAATGCCAGCCTATAGGCCAGGGAGTGGCATACCAAAGCTATGACAAAAGGGTTGTCCCACGTCGGGCTATGAAGGAGAGCCATAGACCCGGTCGCGATTTCATTATCAGAGGCAGGCGAAAAGGGCGGGGAGAGTGAACCACAATCGACGATTGAGCTGAAACCATGAAGAAATACGAATTGACCAATGCTGTTTTAAGCCGCGGCCGAGGTACACATATCGTATGCCGTATGATGGGGGAAACGACATTAGGGAGAAGGGGGGCGAACATCATACTCAATGTTCTTCCTGCTTTCGTGCTTGTGCATCAGCCATCGTTTGAAATGGCTAATTGAGAAGGCGAGTATAAGAGGGCTAGAGAACTCGATCCCGGAGATACTTCTTCCATTGAGTTTCATTCGGCCGCAGAAATGATTGATAAGTACTGTAACGACCGAGGAGTTCCTGGTCCAAACTCTCAGGGCAAAATATGAAGGAAAAAAATAGAGTAAAAAGTAAAAAAAAAATGAGACAGACTCACAATGGAGATGGCTCGATCTTCCGACTTCGTCCCACGAGGCATGCATGCATGCAAGTTCAGGGGGGGAATAGGTTTCTCGCATTTCCTCCTGCACTCAACCCCGAAGCCCCCTAAAAAAGAATTGGCAGATTGATAGGACCAGATCTCTCCTTGGGACCACATAGAGACGCCTCGCTGGGCCAGAAACACGGAGGATATACAGTGTCTTGCGTGATAAACAGCTGACGGTTTCTTATACTCGAGTAAGCTGCTCGGAAATCCGCCAAACATTGCACACGTACAGTACCAAGTGAAAGCAAGTCCATTTCCCCTCAATATAGCTAAACGGGAGCTGGAAAGCAGAAAAAGTAAATACTGCATTCGGAACACCAAAATCGTTCCATGCACATCATACGAAGTTCCATAACGCGCATTCAATAAGACCACACATTATTCTAACCCTTCCCTTACCCAAGAGATCAGTGGGATAAGGTCTTAGTTTGAAACTCGAATGATTCACTGCCAATTAAGGAAAGATACTTTCCGGATACCGTCATTCTCCCAGAAAATATCTTTTGGACGCAGCGGAGAAGGGGAACTAAAGAGCACCGCCCCCCTCGAGGTTGAGTCATGATGCGACGGGAAAATCTCATCCATCCCCCACGATATCTGCTTCTTTGAGGATGTGGATTTGATAGCCTTGAAAACAATCACCCCACGCGCTGCTGTTAAAGTAGCCGGCAATCTATGTGACGATGGGAGCAATGCAGACGCAATCCCGAGGTACCAGGAAAACTACCGTACTCGAACAGAGCGAGAGCAAGTAGCTGCGAACTGGAATCCTCCGAAAAACATCTGTTTCACATAGTTTACGACAGAAACGAGAAGCGGGCCAGGGTGGTGTGAGTGAGTGTGTGGAGCTTTTTCATACTTGCTCTCGTGTGTGTTGGCCACTTATATGCTCGCCGACGATAGCCATCTCTCACACCATCCCCTCTCTCTATCTTGGCATGAGCAGATAATTCGGAGCAATTGAGCCTCCAAGGTGAAAGCCTTGTGTGGTGGAACTCGCCACATGTGCGTACCCATCATGGACCACTAGACAACAGATTCGATCTATCTCACCAATACTTGAATTCATGGGGATAAGAGAGGATTAAACCCTCGGCCCGTCGGCGGAGGTCAACTCACATAGAGCTGCACCCGAGGAAAACATGTTCCAAAAAGGAAAATAATGAGCTGGAGAATTGGGCGATCGGGGCCCAACAAAGACTGGAAGACTAGAGTGGAGAGCATTGAATAAATTATGTGAAAATAAGAATGAGGGAGAAATATGAGAGCACGATGGATATTATCGTCGGAGGTTGTTCTCTCCCAAGGACGGTGGAGAGACTTGGAGTCGATTCCAGTAAGCGGGTACTCGCCTCAGATCAGGACGCCGGGTACCGAAATATAAACAATAGTC